AACGACAGTTGAGTCAAGATTTTGAAGTGCACGATCACAATTCACATATATTAAATTCTAGGCTGATAAAAAAGTTTTCCTTTTTAATGGTTAACTAATCTATTATAACAAAATAAAACTTCACAAAAGAATCTTTTATTTAACGGAATGGTTATACAAAATGATTTTGAAAAGATGAAACTTGATATTAGAAACAACTTCTATTAAGAAGATACTGCATTTTGAGTCTTGATTTTCTTGTTGTTAGATACTCAAAACCAATGAAGTGAGAGTGTTTCCGCGTGCGAGACTTCTCGAGAGAAAGTGTAAACTAATTTGTTCCGCAATGTCTTCATAACATCTGAGATAAAAGAAAAAAAACAAAACTAATTCCGCTCTATGAAGACGAGCATTCCGCTATTTACATATTTCAAACACGCCTGCCTAAAACATGAGCTTTGCAATCCGCTTGAAATTAATCGTTGGAGTTGTTGTTACCATCTAGAGAACTAACGTGTTTCTTTAAAAAGTTAAAACAAGAATACATTAAGTTGTTAAAAAGGACAATATAGATTGACCATAAAAACAATATCCAAGCCCACGAAAATTCGTTATTCTGAATGAAAAAAAAAACAAATTAACATAAAAAAGGCACCGAACCAACTTCTCTCATAGAATTTGTCTTCATCACAAGGACATAAAACTATAAAACACTCGGGAATTTTCGAAAAATATTAATCAGTTTTAATACAACATGGTAGCCATCGTGGTCAAGACTATTCCGACCAAGCCAGTTCCAGCGAGTTTGCTTGCAGCATTCTTCCCGGCTTTGGGTGGTCCTACAAAATAATAAGTCAAATATTTAACAAAAATTTCAAAAAATGCCAATTTTCAAGTGACACTTTACAAAAATATCACACTTTTGAAATATTTACAAAAATGCCACTTTTTCAAAATTATTTTTTATATTATTTATGTTTGAGTTAATTATATTCTATTAGGGTTTAGTTTTGAGTGTTTAAGGGGTTTTAGGTGTCAAAACATTTTTAGGGTTTAGAATTTTAAGATATAGGTTTTATAAATCTATAATTAGTGGTATTTTGTAAATGGACACCCCTAAGTGGTATTCTTGTAAATGTACACACAAAAAGTGACATTTTTGTAATTGCCCTTTTAAGAAAATAACAAAATTAAAGAAAGGAGTGTATTTTCTTGTCTAATCCTTTTATTTAACAAAAAGAATGGCTAGCAATGTCCTCACAATTCATTACGATAAGTTTCATCATTTTGTAATTGACATATTAGAATTGTTCCTTACCCGGAATTGGTGCTGTTGTCGTCGGAGAAGGCGGTGCTTGAGCTAGCAACAAAAGGAAAATCAAATAACAAATCATGGATAAATAGATATTTTATTGGTTATTTGTAGTAGATAGCTTGATTTTGAAACTTATTTGCAAAAAAGATGCGGCGATAAAATCATGAATAAGTGGATGTTAATTTATAAAAAATAACATGAAAAGAAAAACGTACAGATGTTTTTTATCCAATGACACGTTAATTAATTTATTAAAAACATGTTCGAAATCAAGACCCGTTTATGTATGATTTTGCCAATGCATCATTTTTGCAAATAAACCTCCAAGAAAAGCTATCTATCTAACTAAAACATATTTTGATCTCATTATCAAGTATGACTTAGTTACAAATTATGCTCACAATAGTTGTTTATTTTACAAAATATAGATATAAAGTTTTTAGCCAAAACTATTACCGGAAGTTTGGGAACACAAGTTGGGATCGGTGTCGATTCCACAATTCTGGGAGAGAAGAGCACTGAAAGCAGTGACATTGAAAGGGACCACTAACGTTGCGCTTTTGATAAAGCCACAAAGACAAGTTATTTGCGTTTTCAACGCTATGTCTATGGCGGTGCAGCATTCCTGCGATGGAGTTCCTCCCCCAGTAATCGTGGGAACACAAACCGTCAAACCCGCCGCGCAGTTCATTGCTTCGTCTACTGTAGGACTAGGAGCCACCGGAGTAGGTGGTTTCTGTCCTGAAACAATGGTAGCGGCCATTAGCAATGTAGCTACGAGGAAGATCATGGTGGTGGTTTGAGCCATGACTAATCGTCGGTGGTTAATTAGTTTTCTTATGTTTTGTTTGGCTTTTGGTGCTTCCTTTGTATTTATGTACACATCACAACCGTGAAAACTATTAGTGTTATGTACATTATAAATATATGCACCTAATTGAAATAATTTAATGGTGGACTTTTGTAACAGAATACGTACATTTATATTCTGTTCCAATTTAGAATATACTACTATATATTATTACGACGTAAGGTTCATTGTTCAATCTAAGTTTCGTTAGCAAAGTAAAAATCGAATTAATATTGAGAAATCGAATCAGTTTGTCTCAGATTATGGGTTTCCAACTCAATATTAATTGACAACTAGATAGTTATTTGCGTTATACGCGGGATAATATGATACGCGAATAAAATCAATATAGTTTTAGTTTAAAAAATCATCTATAGTTATTGGAAAAATTATCATACGGAATCCAAAACTCGTTTACATATATAAATTTTGCAATTATTTTGTATAAAAATGTATCTCACCCGTGAAATAACTGAAAACAACAAATGTTTAGTTTCTTAGTCAATATATATCACTTATTAATATAATATATTTATTTAATATCATAATCTTCAAAAATACGGTTTATGACTCAAATATACAAAATAAAAGATTGGAAATATGAATTGAATTTTATAGGTTTAGAATAATATAAGAGTAGTAATATAGTTTTTAAAATAAAAATTTGAATTTAATTAATTTCTCGTAAATCGTTTTAGGTGCTATCCTAGTAGAAATTTTTGGTGGTATCTTAGTAGAATCTAAAACTCCTTTTATTTATAAAAATTTGCAATTATTTTGTATAGAAATGTGTTACATCCGTGATATAATTTTAAAAAATAGATTTTTAATTTTTTAGACATTATATATCACTTATCAATAAAATGTAGTTGTTTAATATCATAATCTGCAAGGATACGGTTTATAACTCAAATATACAAAATGGAAGATTGCAAATATAAATTGAATCATATAGGTTAGGTTAATTATAAGAGTAATAATATAGTTTTTAATAATTTTAATGGTAAGAATTAATACTACAATCTTCAAATAATTGTTTTAGGCAAGTTTATAAATATTTAATATGGTATTGTGTTTGGCAATTGGGATTTGATTAAATCATGATAAGTTATTTGGAATTAAATGTGTTTAATAATGAGTATAGGGGAATTAAATAATAATAACAAAATATTGAGAAAATTTGTGAGCTTGACACCTATGCAAAATGATCCAAAAATGTTTCTCCTTTAATAAATAGAAAATAGAATTAATTATGTTTGCTTATAGAGATTATATTATGAAGAGTGTTTGGCTAGTAGGATAGTAGGAGAAAATTATTATATGATTTAATTATTAAAAAAACATAAAAATTTGTGGGATTAACACCTAAACAAAAATAGTCTAGAATGCTTCTTCTTTACTATATAGAA